AATACGAGCGGAAAACCAACCTATTGGTGCTACAAAAGCACATATTTTTCCGCATTATTTGTAACTTTTGCAATTTTCGAAAATCCTGAAAGTTCAACAAAAATCATCCCCTTTTTAAGCATCCTTTGCTCTGAGGGAAAAATTTAAAGAAAAATTATTGGGAGCTGTTTTGAGAAGAAAAACTCAGATGAATTAATTTCACTCCAAATTGAAAATGTATTCAAATCAGATACAGCATAAAGGAAAATCCACTATGAAAATTAGAAATGTATTTAAACAGGTCATCAAGAATGTCTGTTCTTAAACTTTGGAGGGAGGGGGGGGGGGAATCCACTCAGGTTCTTTCTTGTGGAATTATTCCATAGATAGGTAATGAATACATGAAAGGGAGAAAATACGTATTCCCAAATTAAATAAATTTATTAATCATTAAAAAATTACAACTTTCCAACTCCTTTGTCTAGCATACATTCTGATCAAGTTTAAATCACTACACATCTTTTACCATTAAAATACTGTACCGTTATTCGAGACCATCTAGAAAGTGATGCATGATTACAGAGCAGTTGGGCACGAAAAAGTTCAATTATTTTTAAGACGAGCCTGGAAATATACTGAAAGAACAACAATTAGAAAACAAAGTACATACTAATTCCTAAATAGAAAAATACATAATACACTTCGTGATATCAATTAAATTTGTATACCACATGGACAGTCATAAAATTGAGGTCTCGAATAATTGAACATCACATGGCAAAAATACATTCGACGACCTGACAGTATTCGTAGACTTGGCCAATCAGTGTCAACCAGAAACTCTCCTGTCTAATCATGGAAAATGTCAATTTTTTCATCTTGTGATGTAAATTACTATTCATTGATGCAACAACAAGCAAATTTGCAAGGTTACACGCCATGCCAATATTCAAGATTTATAAATTATGAGATCAAATTGAAATAAAATGAGTAAGATCATGAAAACTGCACAAGAAAATGCAATACTCCTGTCATCTGAATGGAAGTAAGATATTCAACTCTATGGTGAAATTAGTTTCTATCAACCACATTAATAATACACAACTTCTATAGTACCAACCACCAACCATTTTGTATAATTACTACACATAATACTGTTTCCATCACACACTATGTTACACATGTTCTTTGTTCATAGCTGCAGGTACATCTCAAAAGATTATTCACGTACATTCAACCAACAACACAACATGCAGGCATTTTATGTCTATCGAGGTATGTTACTGAAGAAATAAATTAACAAAGAGATTACAATACAATACAATACAATATTATATTATTAATTTGTTTATGTTTACGGGACCCCTAACTCCAGGGATGACTGAGGGCCACAAATGATAACCTAATGGACAAGATGCATGCAATAATGATGGAGATGCAGTGGAACAATGGGCAGCGTAAACGGGAGGACCCTAAGTAAACCTATCAGAGTTCACTTATCCACCACAAATTTCATATGGATTGGTTAGGGATTTAATTCACGCCCAGCAGCAGAAAGCATATCTGATAGCCATTATGCCACAAACACGCACTCTGTGGTGTACGTAACATATCATGTATTTCAGACAAATTCCATAATTAAGAGTTTAGGCATAAAACAAATAATTATTGAACCATTTATATTTTATAATTAGAGCACAATTTCGAAAAGGTATGGGAATGCCTTCATCTTCACAATAATTCAGCCACTCATTTCATGAATTAATTGGACTACTGAGAGACTAAGGAACTGAAATTTTAAACAGAATACTTCTGAATTTTTGTCAATAAGGAAATTGATTTTACTGGCAAGTCTATTACCGACAACAAATTTCGTTGACTGACATAATTGAAAATGTTGAATAGTTTGTCATAACATATGTCATACATTCTTTATCAAATGTGCATAAATATAGAAAATACAACTCAAAGCCAAATTTGACACATTAATATTTTACCAATTGTCAATATTAGTCATTCATAACAACAAAGTTAACTCAAAATTGAAGCAGGGTTCACTTGACATAGAACTTCATAGAATTAAAAGCTATGAGTATAATACATTATGTCTCCCACTCAGTGGAGATTGATTGTGAAATTTTTTCTTCATATGCGATTTTAGCAACACAATAATTGTGTGATAAGGAAAGGAAAACTACAACTCACAATATAAAACGTTAGCGAAAAAAATCAGATAATATTCTATCTGTTCAATAAATAAAATTTTAGTTGGAAGCAAAATGTGGTTGAAACATACATCCTTCACTGTTTTGTATAAATAAATTGTAACAGAAAATTCTCTACATTTCAATTTCAAAAGTATTAAAGAATCATATTCAGTTGAAAGTCAAGTGTTTCAACTCTAGCATTTCATAAGAGAAAAGGTAATAAAATAGACAGACTTTTTAAGAAAAATACGAGTCTGACCTTTTTATTTATCGATTAAACACATGCTGTAATCAATAATGTAAAATTTTGCTTAAAATCACAGAAAATAATTATATAAAATTACAATCAATAATCATGTAATACAATCTTCAATATTTGTATTCATGGAACATTAAAACTTAACATTAAGGAATTTTACAAGAAAAAAAAACAATCACAATTATAATATAGTTCTCATTATACAATCTACTTTAGTTTGGAATAAAGAAAATATATATGCAGACTACTAGACACAAGTAGCACTTGTAGATGTCAACAGTACAACTATATCTCCCGTAAAAGTCAAATAGGTGATTAATGATCTATTTCATAGTGTTATGACATTAAATGGATCAATAGAAAATGCTGAATAATAATAAATAAACAATAATCACTTCTCACAAAAGGTTTGTCAATGTATGAGGTAATTTTTCCTATGGGTGAACATCTTCCACAAACAGGGAATTGCATTCTAGAATCCATATAAAGAATTAATATTAGTCATAATTTATAGCAATTGTGCACCAATTTTAAAATTAAGACAGAAAACTATTTATTTTGGGCATTTTACAAAAAGAACTTTCAATAGAAATTCCAGAAACATGAACTATAAACTTGCCAAAGTAAAATACGAGCTGCAAAAAGAAGCAGAGAGCGACTACTGACCAACAGGTTCAGAAACAGGGTCATTGAGGTACTGGCATAGCTAAGTTCTCAGAGGCCCCGGAGCATCCTCCAAATACGATTGACTAACAGGAAATCAGGAGTTTTATGTCCAATTTATATTTGCTAAGAAAACCTTGCTTTGTAAATTATATTTAACCAGCCTAGAGTTCATTTTCCAGTGTGCCCAATTTTACATTACGTGGTTTACAAACAAAACATTTAGCCATTTATTTGAGAACAACTGATTGTGATGGGCATAATATATACAGGAAACTGCAGACAAGCCGTGAACTCTCTCACCCTCCAGTACATTCTTTGTTATTGTAGTTGTTTCTTGAAATAATTTTCAAGCATATAATTGGAGCAAAAATAAATAACCATAATTCAACATTTTGGTGATGAGTAGTTTGTTACAGATTATGTGCAAGATATCTTCAATATATTGTTAAACAGGAACCACACCTGTATTAGGCATTGGCCGGGATCCTTTTTCCGGGCCTCGAACTACGGAGGTCCCGGTGCGATCCACCGGTTGCGCCAGCCCAACTACGCCCCTGCTTTAGAGTGCATTTCCTTTAAAGGAGTAAACGTTGACGCAATTCCCTAGACGCGCGTGTACGGCAAATTGCCTAACCCACGGACGACCCCTCTCGTTTTAGAACATCCGTAAAATTATTTTGTTTCCGGGCGTGCCAACTGCAATGGTGCGTTAGTTCCTTAAGTGTAGTGTATGCCGTAACTGGAAGGTTGCAATCTTCCTCTCGTTGGGTCCAGCGCCGACCTACACATCGGATTGCGGAGTTCCCATCTAGGGATCTCCGCGAGAGGGACACCGCCCCAACCACGATCAAACTCCCGTCTGATCTTCAGACGTGTATGGAAGTGTAGTGCATGTAAATGTAAGGGGAGAGGAGGGAAACAGGATGAGGAAAGAAAGACCACGCGCGGTACTGACTTATTTGTTAGGGTGCTACTCCGGTTTTCGCCTGGTACGGATTGGAGAGCCGGCCGTTAGAATTCTCCTCTAGGCAGCCGCCTAACTCCACATAGCTATCGAACTCGTGTCAAAGATCCGCCACCGTCGGAACTCGAACCCTAAGACCTCCCGGTCAGAATCAATTTCTCTGAGGCAACTCAGGGGGCAAATTTTTCGGAAGCTATTTGTTACACGTTAACAGAGCCATATATCCTTACATCACGCGATCCATCGTAAAATCAGCATTTTAATGATACCTCCTCTGAGTTTGGGGGCTTTAATCCTGGCCACTCCATTTGGAATTTGTGGACAAATGGGGGTTTCACAGTAAGTTTTGACGGATTTTTCCTCTTCGCCCTCTCATTCACCATTTGCACATCTGTCATTACCATCATCATCATCATCATCATCATCATCATATGATCTCTGGGCTAATCTTCGGGTATAGAATAACAATTAAAAGAATACAAGTCCAAACCTTTCCTGCCTAATTTCTATAGCTTACAAAAAAACAGAAAAGATCCACTACAAACAAAAAAGAACAATATTAATACTGTCGATACTAGATATTAAAAAATAGGAGTTCCATTCTCATTTTCTGGGTAGGTAAGTAAGGAATATGCAACATTGAGCTTGCAACTACAAAGAAAAACTATGTAAAACCTCAGATAAATTTTAAATAATAGAACATTAAGAACTTTATTTCTGAATATGACAAATAACCAATTGGAACCTAACAAATAGCCTACTCCTCTGCTGGACACTTTCCCTAGAAACGCAATATACAACACTAAACTGGCTTAGCCAAGAAAACAAGTCCTCAGCAGTTACTTTAGCTTTATTTGAATGAAATCAAATTAATTGTTTTTAAGCAATGATTAAGTATTGCTAATAGGCAAATAATTTTTATATCACGGCTCACAATTCCAGCTTTTTATCTGCCAATTAAAAAAAAAAGTTGAAAATTACTATTCAGAATCCACATGAAATTATGGCAATTACTGATTGGTTTGACTTTAGTTTCTATTCACTTCAGGCATAGTGGTTTTCCTTTCCTTGTTATGAGTTCACAGACAAGCATGAGCAGACAAACTTTCTTAAACTAGAGATAAAGGGCCACATACTTTTCAGGGCAGAAGTTAAGTTTACACAAAAACAATACAATGGGACTCATTGAGACACATTAATTACTAAAAGTCCCATATAGGTGCAGGTTTACTTGTATTACCATAACAAAAATATTAGCCAAAATTGTAATTATACACTTAATGTTAAACACAAGGTTCAATTTGTGTCTATACAACTAGTTAATTCGTCTCGTAAACAGAACTCTCATTGTCTGAACTCACACTCCAGAAGACCCATGTTCATGAAACTTCTAGTACTACTTGGTGTGGCCACAGTATAGTTTACCAAATGTTTGGTAAAACATGTTGCTACATACTTACGTCAGCAATTTAACATTAACCGCAAATATAAATTAGTAATTAACATTTGACTCTTAGTTGTGGACTACCCAAAATCCAAACATCTGATGATGGCCAAAAAAATCATGTTCCCGGAAGCCAGCACAAACTGGATGATCATTTTAAATGTCAAATTCACTTCATTGGGGCCAAACATTTTCCCTAATTTAGAACAATAACAAAAAATCCGTAAAAATGTGTTTTATGTTCTTCCCATCAGACTTCCTCACGCAATTGGCAACACACATGTAAGAATAAGATACATAATATATTTTCTGCTCAAAAGGGCATCCTTCACTTTGAATAAATGTATGAAAGAGGTGAATAGGAATGGTAGTACACCACCTTACAATGTTTGTTATAATTTAATGATTTCTATATCATTGTAATTTACAATAATCAGAAGTAAGTGCTTCTCATATGACACAGTATTTAAGGATTTTTTTTCAAATGCACAAGAAAACAAAGTGGGTTAACACCTTTTAAATTATCACTTTCTGTGATTCACTGAATTAGTGACTACTTAATAGATTTCCCAATGTGCCTCTAAAAAGTCTGTAGATTAAATACATCAACCTTTAAATTGCCTATTGCACACATCAAAAGAATGAAACTACGTTAAATTTTGCTGCTTACAACAAAAACATCAATAATCAGTACCTAAGCAGATATCACCTATCTTCTTTTTTTAATTTATTTTGATAAACATACAAATCATTTGGGTACTATGAAAATTATTTCATTTCAATAAACAAAAATAGTTTACTTCCAACCAATAGGTGGCAAAAAGGATTGTTGAACAAAAACATCCTTTTCCCTTTTCTGTGGAGTTGAAGATAAAGATTAAATTTGAGCGTAACACCACTTATTCTTCTGATTTCACCTCCATTTTACGAGAAATAAAAATTTGTGCCTTTAGAACATTCTACTCTATTAAAGTGACTGATAGGCATTAAAAATGAGGATGAAATCAGATCATATCATAACAAAATAATTTCTGGCAAAACTGTAAATGAAAGAGAAATTAATGACATGTTTTCATGCTCATATTTACCAAATATCATACTTTCAATTAGAGAACAAAATCATACTATGCAGTGAAATTACATTTATTTACTTAGCTCATTATGTTTTTTACTTCATGTTTATTCTTCTTCAACTGATGATAGTGAGGGAGAACTTTAGACAGAAAGTCCAGTTGTGATGTTTGAGGCTGCAAGATGAATATAAAAAACTTATTATATCTAACATCTTCTGAATTATACATCATTAGCATAAAAAATCCTCTTTGAATAGATGACATTTCTTAATGCATAAACAAGGAGAATCCTTAACAACCATAAATATAATATCCATATCGGGTTTATGGGTCTTTTTTTAACACATGATTGTTCGCCAACTTTTTAGAAAATTATTTCCTTTCAGGGCCCTTCAAGATGAGAAAAAACAAGAGAAATATAAGGTGACAAAAAGTGTTGTAGCAACACAGAGTTTATTAGTACCTGACAGCGTTTCTTGTGGCCTTATATTTTTCTTGTTTTTCCTGAATGGAAATATATTTTCGAAACGTTGGCAAACAACCATGTGTTAAAGTTGTTCGTTCCTACTGACCAAGCCCCATAAACTTGACTTCAGTTTAATTCATAAAGCTCATTTAAAGAAGCAAACGGTTGTATTTCATCTAAGCAAACTAAACTATAATCCACAAATGATATCATCAAACACTCTTGTTATGGTAAAACTGACATAAAAACCTCACTTGATGGGAACAAAGTTGGATGAAACTACATATATTGGAAAGGACACAAATATTTATGAAATAACCCCAAAATTTAAACCTTGAAAAATTAGAAGAAATTCAAATTTAAAAATGTGTAAGAAAACAATGAAATCGTTCACTTCTTCAAAATCCTCAATGATTCAAGTGATTTCAGTTTTATTATATTAAAATTTTCTTTTTGAAGCAAATGTATTTGTGATGAACAAAAGTTTAACAATTTAGCACCCTATTTAAGTTTGAAATAAACTGAAATATTCTATAATGGCTTTTAAATTATTTGATTTTGACATTTTAATTTTTTATTTGTCACTGACACCTTGTTACGTCATCATAGTCTCCAAGCAAATGTCTCTCTCCATGAATTGATTTTTGAACTAAATTATTTTCAAGATAAGAATATCTACTATTTCGAATCTACTTTTTACTTACAGAAAAAATTCAACTTTCATCCACAAATAATTCACCCTAATTATTAATAACTTAATTTAACAATTTTCAGAAATTTGGGTTTACTTTTATATTCATTTAATTCAAGTATCATATGTAGCCTCATTCATTTAAATGGCAAGAATTTTAAAGCTGAAAAACAAAGTTTCCACTAGATTAGCCTGTTTCAGTGTATGTTGACTTACTTTGAAAATACATACATAGTTGATAGCATTCACACAGACTACAGTAACGCATTTGATTTCATTACCATTTGTTTGAAATAAGTCTTACAGAATATCCTCTCACATGGTTGAAACTTGCTTGTATAATAAAAATCCTATTCATGAAATACAAAAATTTCATCCCCAAAGTAATCACATTTTACTAGATGCCCCTGCTCTTTACAAAATTTATCAATAATGTTACTTTTATTTTTTTAAATGTTGAATTTATTTTTTATTCTGATTTTAAATTTCTGGCAGAACTCTTGGAATATATTCTACTAAAATGATTTTAATGATAACTTTAATGATTTTTTGATATGTTTATAAGTAAATCATTTAAATAGTTTGGTTTAATTTGAAGAAATCAGTCTGCAGCTTTCCTGGTCAGATCTCATCTATTATTTGCTTCTACCATTTGTCGTTTTGATATTCACATAAACCACTAGAAAGAGTTCAGCACACATCTTTCAGATTCCTTGCGGTACGTTTGGGTCTTATGATCCAGTTCTAAACCTCAGTTAAAATGTATTTCTATAGAGATGAAGATTTCTACTCTTTAATCACAAATGGATTTAAACGACTGTGTTTTTACATCAATTACTACATTGTGAAATCAATGGTTCATCCTGTTAAATGACTTAATGTTTCGGGTTCCTATTAGACCTCCCAGGCATTTTTGTCAATTGGTATTTGCAAAATTATACCGCATACCATCAGACAATCCATTTCGCAAACATCCAATCTAGTTAATTATCTTAATGTTGATGTCCATGATCTCGGTATAAATAGACTTATTGATTATTTATAGCTGAGATTCTTGAATTTCCCTGATGAGAGGGCTGTGTGTGCTTCTATTGCTTTGCTTACATTTATGTTTAGTTATATTCTTAGCTACATTTATCAATTAAAAATTGTCTTTCTCCTACATTTAGGTTCCTATCAATTAAAAAGTTTCTTTCTCCTAGTCCTTGATTAGTCCAGGATGACAAGAAATAATCTGTGCAAAATTTAAGTCCATTTGGATAACAACTCATTGCACCTATGTGTTGAAATTTAAACAGGATTTAACAAGCAAATTCATATGTTTTGACACTTTTGAATAGACCTTCCTTATTTCCTAAGGTTTTGAAAATGCATATCCTGTTTTGGGAGATGCTGAACACTATTCCAATGTCAAAACATGTTTTTAATTTTAACAACTGTCAATTTACATATTTAAAAAAAAATACAATTATAATGTAGTTATCAAAAATCCAAAACAATTTTTTGACATTGGAATAGAGTTCAATGACCCACAACTACACACTTCACTACACTACAGGTTACCCCATTTTTGTCTCAAAACTGAAAAATACGAATACTTTAAAAATGGTTCTTTTTGAAAGCTTAAAGTTAAATCACATTTAAACTTCAATGAGTCAGTGGCCTGGGTTATTATCCAAATTGTCTGAACTTTTGCACAGCTCTTTTTCTTTTCCATTTTGAATCAATTTAACGACAGGAAACATGAATATCTTAATTTTAATTTGTTAAGGGTCCCCTAGCACATGAATATTAGTATAATGTAAACACAGACACTTGGACCCAACTTTCCAATTCGTTTGTAGTTTTTTCTTTACTAATCAATGAAAAACTAAGAAAATATGTTTATTCTTTATAATATAAATCTCAATGTAAAATGCTTAATGTAAAATGTTTGAGAGTAGTTTGAAAAGAGATATTTCATACAAAGCTCAAATAAAGGTTTTGAAAAATGGGTGTAAGTTACATGGGTGTGCACGCTACTGTAACCCATGCAATGTTTTCAAATATAAAACTACTGAGATTTGCACTGGGTCCATGTAGTTCTTAAGAGTTTTGGTTATAAACACGACTGTAAATATACTACAAACATGATAACTTCAATAGCTGAAAGTCAATTTTTATTATTCAATTTTTTGCAATTCAATGTTAATTGCAGGTGCCTAATAAAAAATAATTTTGCCCAATTTCGGCCTGGTAGATTGTTCTTGAAAGCTATGACAGTTGTGTGATGCATAGTCAGTAAGTCTTCACAATACATCTGAAATCATGTTCGTCAACAGAAAACTCAAAATGACAGATTTTGTCCAGGTGACTAGCAAAGGTTAATTCATCTTCAATAAACAGTTTTGGATAGCCGGGTTTCTGAATGGATTTGTTCTAGTTTGTAACTTCAGACTTCAGACAATCATTTGTACTCGTGTCCCATAATGGTCAGATTACTGAAGAAGTGAGAGAAAATAAGTATTGTTAAAATTTGAAATCTGAAAATGAAATTACTATCGCATTAAAAAGATAAAAAAAAAGAAAGTTGTGGCTACTTGACCCCACTGTGTGTGTGGGTCCGAGTAGCCCGCTTTTTGAAATTGTGAGTTCACAATTAGTAAATCCTAAAAAAAAAAATTTAAAAAATGGGAAAGGCATTCTACTAATGATAAAAGTACCATTGCAGTTCTATTAACAAATGTACAATTACTAAAATGTAAACTTTTTCCTTGATCAACTACCTTGAAAAGCCATAGTACACAAAAAAATTTGCAGGGCTCAAATGCCGCCAATTTTGACACCGGAAACTTAATACAGTGCTGTAATGTACAAGTGTATTACTGAATTATGCCAAACATGTTTTATACTGTACTATGTTGGCATCGCATGGAAGCAATTGCAAACTAATGTATGCAATGTATAAGCGGTGTCAACCGCGGAAAACATTTTTTCCGTACGGGTTCAAGAAGTACCTTAGGGGTTCAAGTAGCCTGTGATGACGGTATGTCATTTCAGGTAAATGTCAGGTTCATGTCATTTTGTAAATTCACATATTAGATTATCTACTTATAATAGTTGTATTTCTCACAAATCTGTCGTGCATTTTCTAATTTTATTTTTGTAATTTAGACAATTGTCTGCATAGTTTAATAAATAGATAAATAAATGGTACAATAACATTTGACAAACAGATGAATTTATTTATACCATTTATAAATATTAGAAAATCAAAGAGTATATTTTATTATCAGGGGCAAAGTTGATAGTGTAGCAGAAACAAGAGTCCACTAAATCGATCATAATGGCATTGCAGGGCTACAGACATCAATACCAACCTGGAGCAAAAAGCTTGTTTCAGACATTTCATGAAGAATGAAAATATACATTCATAAAGAAATATTTACTAACAATGTCTAAAGAATATGTAGATACAACATGAAATACCTACAATTGTAACCAAAAAGCTTAATTTATCACAGACACGCATTACAGATTTGGCAAAGAACACCCTGCTACAGAACAGAGAGAAATATAGATTTGAGTGTTGGGTCAGCATCTACTACAATACATTTCATATAAATTACGTATCCTAAACTATCAAGAATAAACGTTCATGAATTGAATGGAACATTTTTAAGAAAGGTATAAAATCCAATTACTATTACATTTGATACACATACTGTGAATGTCAGAAAAGAATGGCTCAAAAAATAATAATGAAGATACATCAATTATTATGAAAACTTTCCATCAATAAAAATTATGGATAACATTTTTCTATGTAAAAATTATGCAGATGATGTTGATAAAAGGGCTGAAGGTGAAGTCAAATTTACATTGTCCAAAAATGTTTCTGAAACACAATTTCATTTTTTATCAGTTGAACTCTCTACATTTTAGTTAACAAAATATCTTCTCGTAGGAGTAGAATCTATTTTTGAAGTTTGAAATATTGTTATATTGGTATTAATATAGGTACAAACAATGTCTGCTAGCTTAGAAATAATTTTAGAACAAGTCCATGGATTTTCAGAATTCTGAAAATTAAAAATGAAAAATCTATCACAATAACATTGTAACTCCTCTTTAATGTTTTACTTTACGTTTTAAATCATTAATATGCATTTTGTCATAGAATTCTCTAATGAGTTAGCAGAGAAAGCATCTGTTTAACAAGAGTATTGCTCTAACTTAAAATAATGCAATAGTAAACAGTCATGTGACATATCATTTATGCGCCGTGCTCCTTGTACGGAAGTGTACTCCTTCAATTAAATTTATATGTAAAGAAATTAATATTTTAGACCTTTTAGTTATTAAAATTTCATAAAATTTTCCAGTTGGGGTGAAGAAGTACATGTGTTAAAAACATCTTTTATCTTTCTTTTTCTATATAAATTTACAAGGGTATAATCTTGCCTTGTGAGAAACCTTCAAGTCATATCATTGTAGAACTACCTTTTTCTCTGTGGAAGTTAAGAACTTTCCACTGCTCTTGATAACTTCAAATTTTTTAAATTTAAATTTGGTGCCAAAATGAAAAATTCTTCATAGTTCACAATTTTTGTTTGTTTGAAGAAAATTATAATTTGATTAATAAAAACAGAAATTTATTTAAAAAATTATTGAAGATTTTAGGTGATTTCCAAGTCTGGTTGATTCAAGCATTTTAAAATTTCAGTTTCTAAAAGTTCTTATAAATTGTCTGGGATAAAATTATGAGTTACTTTATAATTCTTTACTTTCAGATAAACCTAGTCCCCTCAACCAACTTTGTCCTCATCACCAGAGGTTTCCTTGCAAGACCTGATGTGAAAGCTAGTGCAGGAACAGAGTAATATTAACAATATTTTAAACAATTTGAAGAAATATTAACCCAATTAATATTTATTCTACACCAAAACACAATACGTACTGGTGGCCTTTCTGACTGCTGTCGTCGAGAGCAATTTGAACCAAATATAACAGTTTTTTCGGGAATAATTTCAGGGTATGTTAGTCTACAACCTGCCCCCACAATACAGCCATCAGTCAGCTCAACTCCTCGGCCAACAAATGCTAAAACATCAGTCAGAACATGTAACAGTACTGAGATATATAATAAAACAAAACTACCAATTAAAAAATTAATTTAACATATAATGAGACATCACAAGCACCATTTCAAATATCTGAGAATTAGACACCCCCAGCATAATGTTTGCATCTTACAATGATAACTATTTAAAACTTGAAGACCTAGTTGCAGTAATTCATCTCAATAACAAATAATAGACGTGACAATCCTTTTCTCTGCTCATGCAAACTTCATAAACTATTTTTTTGAACTTACATTTAGATTCGAGAACATTATCTTCGCCTATTTTCATAGCTTCTGATCGACAATCGACTTCAAATACATTACTGTCGCCAATAATTAAAACGGGTGTAGAAATTGGATGTTCACCCGCCGGTAACCTGACGAAATAAATTCGAAATGGAATAAGTAAGTTCAAATCTCCATTAATGTACCGGCATAAGTTTTACCTGTTAATAATCACACATTGTTCTTCTATCAAATTATTTTCGCCAATAATAATTGGGCCTGCCTCTGCGATGATAGACGCATGGGGATGAATAATCGTATTCTTCCCAATCGTGATGTCTCCTCGCAAATAGCAGTCGTTACAAATCATTGCACCAGGCATTATCTTAATGCTAACAGAAAATTGGCACACATTTTTTTAATATTTTATTTTCATTGCGCAAAAATCGACGAACCCTAATGCCGAAATTGTATTAACTCACCTATTTTTTAGTGGCATTTTCATAAATAATCGCACGAATAATACTTATGTCAATTGCTCAAACGTCAGCACCGCATCCAACGTACTCTTCTACTGATTGCGTTTGATCGTCATGCAAACATACGATCATAACATACCCATCCCAATTCATATCCCTTTCGAGTCAGTCAAACTGCAGTCAAATATCTAATCCATGATACATAATCGAGAGAATCGCAGAAAGAAACGATGAATCGACTACTTTCGATTGTAATCGACGTAGTTTATGTTGAAAATGCCGCGGTTTCTATGAATGGACTACGAAAAAAGGCCTACCAGTAAAATTAATCGCACACGCAAAATGGGCGAACAAGATTCTGAACATTGAAATAAAATAACATTTTTATATAAGTAAATGTTCTGTAAAGTATTCTTAGTGCATTTCTCTTCCTTAGTGATTGTTGTCTACGTAAAACAAATTACAAAAAAATGTCCGCTCGAGAAATGTTATCTCCAAAAGTACCTCTCTAAAAATCAATAATAATAATAATAATAATAATAATAATAATAATAATAATATATTATTATTATTATTATTATTATTATTATTATTATTATTGTGTGTCTATTTCATCATTTAACCCCATCCCTCAGCGCTTACAACCTTGGGATGTAATTAGTATTAAAAATACTCATCCCATCAATGGAAAAGTAACGTGCACCTACCCCGATAATCATGACAGCCCGGTGGAATAAATTAATAAATAAATACATTTATAAATAAATACATACATACATATATCAATAAATAGATACATAAAAGCATAAATAAATAAACCAATAAATAAAATGAAGAAGAAAGAATTGATTGTTAGTGATTCCGGGCACGTAATCTACAAGGGCCGTTAGTCCCGTAAGTGTAGTGCATGTTTGCTTGGATTGTGGCAGTGGTCTTCCCCCGTTTTATGGCGAGATCCGGCACCGACCTACCGTCGGCTGGCGGCGTTTTCCTCAACCAGGTATCTCTCACCAGCAGGGTACCGCCCCAACCGGGACAACCTCTAAGCACCCGACTGATCTCCCGGCATGTGTTAGCTCGTTGCCCGGTATATGTGCCCGGTAGTGTAGTGTAAGTGTGCGTAAGGGGTGAAGATAGGACAATGAAGCGGTAGGAAAGATCGCGCGCGATCCGTGGCCCGTTTGTTAGGGTACTGCTCCGGCATTCGCCTATGTTGGTCGGAGAAACCACGAAAAACTAATGATCAAAGCAGCCGGACGCTAGAATTCTCCTCCAAACAGCGACTGAATTCGACCTAGCTGACAAGCTAGGTCGGCTAGTGTGGAAAATCCTGCTACCATCTTCACTCGATCCTAGGGCCTCCCGGTCAGAGTGATATCAGTTGGTGCCCTGAGACATCTCTCCCGGTAAGAACAAGGAGAAGGAGGAAAAGGAAGAAGGGGAAGAGGAAGAGAAGAAGGAAGAGAGGATAAAGAAAGAAGAATAATATGATTTTACTTCACTGAAATGCGTTTGATGTAGTAAGTAAATCGTGTTAGTTGGCAGTACATAAATGTCACTACCTGCCAAAACTTTCAAATGTGAGTGTAACCTCTGGAAGTATTAAAAATATTATTTTATAGCTTTTATTTTTAACGGCTTTACGAACCCAAAGATACTACCTCATAGAGACCATTAGTAATTTGGGGAAACTTTAGAGTGAAAAGGACCATTTAGTGACATTTTAAAACATCGTAGCTCTCTTGCTGCTTGATTAGGAAAAATAATTTATAGTGCATTCTTGTAGACAATTGTATGAACTTTGATATTGTACACATCAATTTCTGCACTCAGTTCAACCATTAAAACGTTATTACGCAAAATAAAAAAGTCTGAAAATTTCTTGGGTTTTGGCGTACCAAAACTTTTTCCGAAGTATTTGGAAACGGAAAACGTATGTTTTTTTACCAATATAAATATAAACAAAATAAAAAAATTAAACCTTCTACCTCAGCTTCTGCAAGGTGGACCTCCGTATGGCTCCCCATCGAATCCACGTTTTGTGAGGCATTAATATCTAAAAATTGCTTGACGGCACTACATCTGTCCGTCCGTCCTCCATTTGCTTGAAGTAAAGGCAATTTTTTCTGGAAAAAAAACCCTCAAATTTTTCCATGATGGAATTTTTCCATGAGGAAAAAACCTCGGTTAGATGAAAGGAGACTTTTTTTAATATTTAGAGTCACATAAACAATTACAATCGTGTATGACGAGTCAAATATGATATATTTAGAGGGAGTACAATCGCATACATCTTGGGAGCAGCGAGTGAAGTTACATTTATTTTTATTGTCCAGACTTGTAGTATTATAATGTTGAGTCGTCGTAACAAATAATGCGAGAAAGGATGTGCTAATGGAGGACCAGTAGTTTTTAAAAATATATGTTATAAATAAAAAATTGAGAACTGTTTCATTTAGAGCGAGATTTTTTTTCGGCACAAACTTTGTCGAAGGTAACAATGCTGAAAACTCTAACATCATAGCATGTTTCTGGAATTTGTTCTTCTTTTAAATCTTCTCGAATGAATGAGTAAATGAATTATTGGATGTATGGATGAATGATAAATAAACGAATAAATGGGTGGACGAATGATGAACGATTGAATGAACTAATAAATAAACTACTGCGTAATGTGGAATGAATGTTGTCCCGCAGCTGTGGCGGCTCGTGCTTAGGTTGCACGGTTGCACAACCCCCAGATAATTCGAAAAGATCTCATAATATTTTAGAAATATACATATTTCTTTTAATGACATTCAATATTCAAGATATTGCAGCAATATAGATGTATATGAAATCATTTTGAGACCGTAGAGCCTCCATCTGGCGTTCTTTCCGGTGTTTGGTTCCTTGCCGGATATTGCACCACGCTTTCAGCTCTGCATTACTGTTTATCGCATTTACACTCTGGCCCTACGATATACAGGAGCGACATTGGCCGTTTTTGTTGCCCAACCAGATGGTGGCGCTGTCTACCGCTGCGCAGTGACCGAGGGAGTCTCAGGGGAACCCCAATATTCTGTCTTCGTTAGACTCGCAGCAACGTAATTTTACGAAATTCTCTTGTTATTGAAACTACACAAGTTCAGTCAAATATTAACGACATTCAATGCATTTTGTATGATATTTGGAGATTTTGTATGATATTTGTAGGTTTGTTGATTCAAAACGTACATTTGATAAAATCTTTGTGTAAAAGTGGCCGTTGCAATGTGCTATCTATCTTCAATGCCTAATGGAAATCAAAGCCAGAACGTTGCGCCGGAGGTATATATACCTTACACGAACACGACGCATTAAATTATGTAAGTAATGTTTCAATGTTTTATTTAGCTTAGTTTATTTAACTTAGTTTTAATTAATTTACATCAATTGCTTTCATTTTTATAATAAAAATGGATGAAAACCAGAGCGGCTTCAGTAACATTTTATAAATTCCGAGAAAACATGTTTATTTAGGCTATATTTTAGTGGAAATATATTTTCGTGGTATTAATTAATTAAATGACGTGGTTTTAATGATTAAACAAAGCACCTCGACGTTACAGTAATATTGACTTAATAAACAGGTTTCTCAGAATTTATAAAATGTCTCTTAGGCCGTTCTGTTTTTCATCCATTCATATATTCGTATTTTGAAAGTTTGAAGGTATATTTCCGTCATTCGGTGGAGGTACAACCTCCAGTCTGTTGGGGCACCAGCCCTCACTGCACCGTAGAATGAATTAATGATGAGTGGTTATGGGAAATAATATTTAATGGATGGACGGATGGATGATTGATTTAATGATGTATGGAGAGAGTGGTGGATTTGGGTATGGACACTTTGGGCACACTGTTTCTTTTGGTTCGATAAATTATTTCTTGACAGGAATTACATTTGCCCGTGTTTATTCAACAAGGGCACTTGCGCTCGGACAGTTGGCCAGCAAAGAACGATATCGTGGACTTTTTAACAAAATTATATAAAATCAATTTTGTTAATACTATAGCTTTCAGAATGTCAAAGCACATCTTTTTTGTTATATAAACATGTTTATTAAATTATCGCAAGGATGTATTATTATTATTATTATTATTATTATTATTATTATTATTATTATTATTATTATTAAATAATACAATATAATAAACGCTTCAGAAATTATTGAAATGTCTTTATTGTAAATGAAAGAATAGAAACTACCACATACTTTTCACCTTTAGAAATAGTTACGTAATACTATTTTACTGCAATTTTTGTCCGAATTAACTCATTTCAGTTACCATTTTTTGTAAATCTCATTGCAAATCGTAGAATATTAGGCTCGAAAACTAAATATTTTCTAGCAAATATCAACAGAAATTCGACAATTAAAACTGCAGCTAAACCACACAGCTAACTGCAGCTTTCATACAGCTAAATCATGTCCCAACAATGTGACAGAATTCACAGAAGTAAACCCCACTTTATTATATTGCTGCCGTTCAACAATGAACTTCTCCTTGAACAACAATGAAGCCCCAAGGCACCGTACGGTGGTAATATAAAATGAATGCTGAATAAAAGTTCTTACAAATTTAAGGTACTCACGTTTTTCAAGTTTCTTTCATGTTATGCTTAAATCGTATTTTTAAGGAAGAAAACATAATTGGGCTAATTTCAATTAAGGTTTGAGGATTGCTTGAAAGAAAGTACATCAATACGTTCAGAAAACAAATACATTCTGCCAAACACAGACAAAAAATATGGATTATCAAATAGATTTTAAATAATTTCTAAAAGGTTATTTTGTAAATATATAACAAAAGCTGGAATGTAAGAAATGAATAAAGAAATATGAAACAATATATAAATTCGAACTTAAGTAGCATCCCGCTGCCTCCAAGCTCATTTTAAATTATGTCCACGAAGCGCAGGAAATTCCAAACGGGCGACTATGTTTGACGCCAAATTGCACAAAAGTACTAATATTTTCGAAAAACTGAGCGTGTTTATTAAAGATCTCTTCTTGATTACACCTATATTTTTTTTGCAGTTTTTGAAAAATCAGAGATTTCAACGGACATAAGACCTGCACTATTCTATTACGCGTCCTAAACTCTATTCGAGGTCAAAATTTAATAAAAAAAAGTGGTGCTGTTTTTAAAAAAAATGGCTCTAAGAAAATTAAAAATTGCCTATGTTTGAAACAAATTTACACAAAAAATATTCATATTTCCGAAAAATTGAACATGACTTTATTTCAAGATATGTTTTTGATGAACACAATTATGAAAACATTTTTTTCTTTATAATTGTCGAAAGACGCCGAACAAATTTGAATACTTGCAATTTTCAAAAAAATTGAATTTTTAACGATCATGAGATTTGCACCATTGCCTTAAGCATCCTAAACGTTATCCAAGGTCAAAATTTAATCAAAAAATTTGTTGCTGTATTTTAGAAAAAAATGATTAAACAAAATTAAAAATTGCCTATATTTCACGCAATATAAGGCGAAAAGTTACTCACATTTTCCAAAAAATTGTGGATGACCGTATTTCAAAACCCGTTTTTAAGAAACAGAATTCATTAAGAGAAAAATCTTTATCTTTAATATTTTAATTGTAAGCCTTCTGCTCGCAGAAAAAGAAAAGAATTTTTGCATTTTCGAAAAATCAGAGTTTTTAACGAAAATGTGACCTCCACCACTCTCTTGAACATCCTTCACATTATCCACCAACAAAATTTAATCAAAAAATTTGGAACCTTTGTTTTTTGAAAATTTTGAAAATGCCCCAATTGCTTCCTGTAATGTACTCCCAAAATTAAAACATAGGTTTCAAATTTAAGGGGTCGAGACATCAGCCAGATCGATTTGGGAATATCAGTTTTGGAGAAAATCGGCAGATCGGTTTAGCCACTAGCGTTGTTCACAGAAGGACGGGCAGACGGACAGACATTGGACACCAGTTCTTCGGGCCTTGTTTAGTTGTTTAGTAACACCTCGAGAGTGAGAAGGTTAGGAAAGTTTCAGTGTCCCCGAGCTGTCTAAAATCACCGCTGACAGGGTAGAAACACCACGGAATAACAGTTTCCCTCAGTCAGGTGAGTGTCTTTTTGAATTTTATTTCGTCCTAACTGGTTTAAAATTTAATAATTTTAAAGTTTTATAAAATTATTCTTAGGGTAAATACAATGTTAAATCTTTGTAATTAACGCTTCACTTGTGAGACATTTTGTCATAATTTAACCTGCACTAATTCAAATGTAGATAAGATTAGTGTTTTCTATATTTCCCACAATTTTTAGTACCTGATGATGTAACTAATCAGTTATGAAACGTGCTAACTTCAAACAATTAATGATTGTCATAAAAAACAGTGAATATTGATTTTTATTGACAGACTTTTTCAGTCAATCGATTTTTTTGGTATCAAGGAAAATCATAGAAAACCTTGCTTCTGGCTACACCACACGTTAGAAGACTTTTTTCTAAATTTAGCAACTGGATTTATCCGTTTTTTTGTTACCGGCAATAAGAGTTTTTCTGTCGAAAAATCGTATTTTATTATCCGCAGCATTACATAACTTTCTCTCTACTCCGTAAGCCGTAGCGAGTGTAGAAGGACTCGTATCTAGTGGTACTGAAGGATGGCCCAGATATTCTCGTATTAGTTTTCTATTTACTTTGAGCTCGGCTGGTTATTCGGATTATACTATTGCCAGCTGTCATCTATCGCCGCCCAAAGTATTGTTTTTTCTTAATTTTTCGGCTTCCTAATTGTAGATTATAAATATTACTTTAATAATATTAAAGAATAGTAAAACCTCGTCCTAAACGGAAATTTACTTTGAAAAATTTGGAGCCGTTTTTAAGAAAATGGCGTTTAAGCGCTACTGTAAAATAAAAATTAGAAGCCCTTTATCACAGAAAATTTTTGAGTTTTCGAAAATCTTCATTAGAAGTCATTTGAAGTACTTAAACTCACAGATACAATAGTGTTTACAAATTGTTGGAAATGTGCATACTAACGGCGTCAGATATCTATCAAAAAAGTTATATTTGTGTTTGAAAAAACAAAAAGTACCCCAAAATGAACTTATCTCATATTGAAGAGTACAATTAGCACTATCCATGGGAAAAGATTGAAGAGCCACTATTTAGAAAATGGCATTTGAGCGTTTCTGACAATGCGGAATTTTGAACTAGTCACAGAAACGGTTTAGATGTCGAGAAACTTTATGACATGATTTAAAGGACATGTACTCATAAATATAATAACATGGACAAATCGCTGCTAATATAAATATAAAAACGTGAGAGACAAGTCAAAAATTATAATTTTGTAATTTTTGAAGAAAAAAAGAATAGAGCACACTGATATTTATATCTCATAAAGTACATTAAGCATTATCCCTACCAAAAGTTTAAAGAAAAAATTGGAGCAGTTTTTGAGAAAATCTTGTTTTCTTTTGTTTTAAATTGCACATATTGCACGTAATATTGCGCGAAAACTATTAAAATGTTCAAATATATACATGACCTTAATGAAAGAACTCAGTATGGAGAACATTTTTTAAAAAATGAAATCTCTATCTTCAATTTTGCAGTGGTAAGAAAACGTCCGAAAATTTTCAAGATTATAAAATTTTCGAAAATTTTGAGTTATCCCAGAAAATTGGACCTATGCTACCTTTATAAGTGCATTTTATTCTAATTTAGCAAGAAATTTAAAGAAAACGTTTGGAGCCATTTTTGAGAAAATTTTGAAAATGTCCCAAGGGCTTCATATAAAATACCCGCATACTTTGAAGAAAGTTTTTCAAAATCGCAGCGCCTCGAGTGGATTCAGAATATCCTTTTTCAAAAAATCTTTAAGTATGGTTTAGACGCTAATGGTGTTCACAGACGGACAGATGTTTTGAAATTTAAAAAAACAACAAAAAAACAAAAACACTTTTTCGGTATCAGGGGACCCCAAACCGTGGTATTTCCGTTGAAATCTCGAAATCGATTTAAAGCACCACCTTCCTAATACATATGTACACAATATAAAGAAGAAATATATATATATATATATATATATATATATATATATATATATATATATATATATATATATATATATATATATATATACATACACACACACACTTTTGCATATTACCACATATTGTACACTAGTACATACATTTACAATTATTTCGTTAATTTATTCATCATTCGTCCATTCATCGATGAATGGCCTATAATATGCAATTGTTTAAAAAGTGGCGACATTTTCAAATGCCTTATTGGACCTACCCATATCAAGGGGCGGATCCAGAGACAAATTTAGGTGTGTGTGTGTGTGTGTGGGGGGGGTGATGTGTATGTTTGTGTGTAAACGTCGAAACGTTATATAAGCTCTTAAGACAATTTTAAGCATATTTTAAGATAAACTACTGGGATATTCTGAATGGTTGAGTCGCAATAAGCACTCAAACGTTGGTTTTAAAAATGCTTTCCAGACAAAACTTCATATTGCAGAGGCATAGAAACACTACAGAAGTATTTAAATTGTTTATTATTTACAAAATAAATGAATATATTTGTTCAACACGAAAAATAAAGGTAGATTTTGAAATAAAGTCATGTACAATTTTTCGAAAATTTGAGTACATGTCGCATAATTTTGCGTGAAAATGCGAGTGAGTAAGTACGTGCTGTCGTAACACTCTTAGTTACTTAAGTTTCATTGGAAATTGTTATTAATGGTTACTGAATTTGTGTGTGTGTGTGTGTGTGGGGGGGGGGATTTTCCTCATCCCCCTCCGTGTGGAACCGCGCTTGCCATTTCTAATGTAAATATTTTTAGTATTCTTAGTAGTACATAGGGCATATAAATATGAAAACATTTGAATTTGACGAAAAGTCCCATTTTCACCTAATGTCAAACTTAGATTTCAACTCCAAATGTATGTGAACTGAAATATGCATTCAGAATGAAAACACAAACTCACGAATTAATCAGGTGAAAAATATGTTTCATCAAATGTTTTTCATTGTGGAGTACTGGGATGAACGTCATATCGTCTCCGCCACAACAAATTTTGTACGACGTTTATTGTAACAAAATTTGACAATACGGTGTGTGATAGCAACCCCTCTCAAACCTGCATCTCGCATTCATCCATCCATCCACCGACCCTTTACGTCGTAACATGCAATAGGCTGTGATGGAATTGCCTTGTACCGCTGAGAAGGGGTGTTTTACCGCTGCTTGTGGCTGTGCCACCTGCAGTAGTTTACGTTCTGGTGCCTGGTAGCTACGTTAGTAACATTGCTTTTAATTGTTTTTTAACAGTGGCATTTATAAGATTCGTCTGACATTAGTTCATGTCAAAGTACATGTTAACGTGTGCCATGATTGTTAGAAATATGAACGCAAGTATTTCGTGAAGAAGAAATCTTTCACATCTCTTTTGGGGTATGGGAAAATATGGTGGGATTTTGTTTACATCGAGAATGTTATGTTTGGACGTTCCGTGTGAGGTTAATTATCATCGCGGGAATAACAGGTGAGTTTTTAAAAAAAAATCGCGTGCTTCTTTTTGAAACAATAAATCACTATTTCAATGGAATACATTTCGGATGTTTTTCAGGATATTTGTATGTTGGTTCTGTCACCAATATTGGTGTGTCCTAAATATATTTAAAACTGAGTGATCTGCAATATATTTCTCATGGTATCGACAATCGTAATTTTCCAAACGTGCATTAATTTATGTTAGTACTAATGCTGTTTTCGTTTATTGCCTGAGTAGGTGCCTATGGTGTCTTCCCAGAAGCAAGTCAAGAGGGTATGCTTCATCCCTATAAGAGCTATGCTGATGTGACCTTATTTCATTATAATGTGCCATCAGAGGTTTCTCGTGCTACTTGGGAATTTGCTGCCTTTATGGACAATCCTCATTGTCCCATCAAAGATGTTCACATGTAAGTTTGAAGTATTTGCAAGTTTTGAAATTTAATTTGTAGTTTAAAATGAATTGTATGCCGAGAGTAACCCGTAGCCAGGACAGAATTTAGCCCTTAGCCACCGTCGAGCAGTCACCGACTGCAACAAATTCAAAATTGTCTTTTAGTAGCTGAAGGGTACAGGAATGCTTTTTGTTAGAGAACAATAAGGATGTGTTGTTATTGTTCACCAAGTATAAAATCATGATCGTTTTTCCTTTGTTTTTAAAGAAATATTTAAATCGGACAGACCCAATGGCCTCACTACAGTGTTGGTCGAACACAAAACTCTACAGTGGTTAAGAATTAAAGAAATTTGATATGTTTATTGGTATTTAAAGATTTCTTGCTTGTTTATTGAATCTCGTTATCAGTGCATGTAATGATTGTCTCTGTGCGATTGTATTTTGAGTTTGTGACTGAACCGCTTATACATTATAAAATTCCATACCACATGTGGTATGTTGCTTTATAAATATTTGGCACTGAATTTTGATATTGATTAGTCAAATGATAAAGAAGCTGGTTCAAATGGTGAAATGTGTCGAGGTTGAGGAAGTCCTTGAGCCCTGTGCTTAGCAATTTAGTTTGTTTTAACGGTCACTAATTTCACTACAGAGAATTATTGTATCTGATGAACAAACATTCTATATCTTACATGCATAATTCTTGCCTACATAGTCAACATAGTATATTTTGAATGAATGAGAATGTTCTACTTGTCCCATGAAGGTGGATGAACTTGGCTGAGAAAACAATGTTGGTGACTTTTGACCTTGACTCTCACAATAAAATTTGAGCAAAGTAAATCTAAACATGTTTATCAAATTTGGGCTCCGAGGAAGTTGTTTTGCATTGGCATGAGTTAACCTGTCTTCCATAACCAATACTGTACTTTCCTAAATGAATGTTGAGAAAGTATAACAATAATTAACATGGTGTACATATGCTATTTTAGTTTAAAAATTTAGTTCCTTGTACTTTAGACAAAAAATGAAATTAAAGTTTTAGAAGACATCATTGGGGTTGATAACTGTATGATAGCTAATAGTTATCCCTGTGCATAAGGGACTGAACTGCATGCCACCAGTGTAACAATTTGGCTATGAGACACTAATGATTTGGCCATATTTTGTGATTGCCTGAAACAGTAATTTGGAATTTATAACGTTTTGTTGTCACTATATTTGCATCAAATGTAAAATGCAACAAATTGTGAAAGGTGTCGTGAATTTTATGAGACATGCGGCTAAGAGGAGGGAAGCTATGAACAGACGACAAAAGAAGAAAACTTCGACAGAGGTCCCAGTGTGAACAACATACAGGACAAGAGGAAGGTCCGCCTAAAGACTGTGTAGCCCATAGAAAACAAGGACTAACACAATGTGACAGTAGTTATTGGCAGAGGCATAATGTGATACACATGAACAGTGGAATAATTTGTATTCGCATTAATGCTATTCCTGTAAATGTAGCAGTTATCCAGATATATGCACCAACAGCAGAGGCAGAAGAAAATGAAATAGAGCAACTATATGCACAACTTCAAACAAACCTTAATGAAATACCACAAAAGGATGTTTTATTTACAGTAGGCGAGTGGAACTCCAAAGTAGGAAGTGAAATAACACATGGCATATCAGGAAAATACGGATTGAATACAAGAAACGAAAGAGGGAGTCACCTTGGGGAATTCTGTGCGACGAATAATATGATCATAACAAATACAATGTTTGAACATTGTGTCAACCTAAGACACATGTGGACATCACCAGACTGGAAGCACAAAAATCTAATTGATTTTATCATTGGAGATTGAGAAGCGCCATACAAGTTGCAACGACAATAGTACAAGCAGATTGCGGATCAGATCATGAGTTAGTCATTGCAAACATTAGTGTAAAATTAAAGAAACTAGTAGGCCAGGGGAGAAAAATGAGAGATGATTTACAAAATGTACCTCAGCAATATTTAGAAACGACTGAAAATCAATTTAATGTAATCTCAATTGCTGACAGGGATCCGGATGCAAATTGGCAAAATATTAAAAAGGCCATACTAAGACAGCAACAGTAATACCCAAAAAGTCTCCCTCGAATCATTGACCAAATGAGAGAGGAGAAGGTCGTTTATGAGTAAAGAAATGCCAAGGTCGCAGGCAATTTTGTAGAAAAAAACTCTTTATTTTCAACGGCTGACAAAAAAAGACAAAAATAAATTTATAGAAGATAAATGTGAAGATATTGAAAAGAATATGAAGCCCAAACCAAAAGACCTGTTCAGGGCAATCAAGGAAATAAGCAGCGAGTTCAGACCCAAATCTGGAAACTTAAAAGCAAGTGACGGCATGATGCTGACATACAAAAGTCAGATAATTAAGAGATGGATGGAGTACACGTCGAAATTATGACATGTAGAGGACAGTAAGGTGGAGGGAAAAGCAATAAACTATGAGAGAGAACCAACAATCTTAGAAAAATAAGTTTCATGGACTAGAGGAAGATGACGATTGGCCATCTGCCAATAACAAAGCTCCAGGTGAAGATAACATACCAATTGAATTAATAAAGATTATAAAGTTGATAACTTTGCTATTCACTGACTTATGTAATGTGATTGGGGTGAAAGTAAAATGGCCCAAGAGCTGTAAGCAGTCTATATTTGTACTACTGTTAAAAAAAGATGATGTCAGAGAATGTAACAACTATAAAACCGTCTCTTTAATACCGCACGCTAACAAAATCTTCCTTAGAATTCTTCCAAAGAGATTAGAAGAACATGTGTAAAGGGAAATGTCGCAAAAAACAAGCTAGATTCAGGAAAAGCACAGGTACAAGGGATCAGATAACAAACATTAGCTGTATAATGAAAAAGAAATGAGCACTGTAAGGAGATATATCTATGTTTCATAGAGTACCGAAACACCTTCAACAGTGTCAATCACAAGATGTGGCAAGTTTTAAGACGGATAGGAATACCTCAAAACATGATAGTGATGATTAAGAAGCTATACACAGGCCAAGAAGCTAATGTACAAATGAAAAAAGGTACGACAGATTGGTTTCCAATACAGAAGGAAATATGACAAGGATGCATCCTGTCTCCAGCTTTATTCAACTCTTCAGTGAGTTTGTAAAACGAGACTAGATGAATTATATATGGTAATAAGAATTGGAGGTAGAGAAATGAATAATCTGAGGTATGCTGATAATATGACACTTTTGGCAGAAAATAAAACTGACATGAGTGAAATGATAATATTGGTGAAGGAAAGTGAAAAAGGAAATCTTAAATTAAACTTAAAGAAAACAAAAGTAATGTGTACAGGGGAACACGAGACTGATAATGGAGAAGAAATTTGTATGGTGGATAGTTACAATTTTCTGGGGTCACTCATTACCAATGACTGTTCAAGGAAGAAGGAAATAAAAAGGATATTTCTAGGCAAAATAGCAATGGGGAAGCTAAAGAAGGTCCTGAAAAGCTGAGGAATATCCATGAACATGAAAATCAGAATGATACAGACGATGGTATTCTCTGTGGATATGAAAGTTGGCCACTGAATAACGTGACAAAAAAAGATTAGACAGCTTTGAGCTTTGGGTATGGAGGAGAATGTTAAGGAAGTCCTGGAAAGAAAAGAGAACTAATTTATTGATAATCAATCAGGTAAAACATAGACACTCCTTAGAGGCAATAACCACAAAATTTAAATTGAAGTACTTCAGACATATTATGTGAAAGAATGATTCACTGGAAAAGGATTTGATATTGGGACAGACAGGCAGAAAAAGGAAGAGGGCAGAGAACACGATGGATCAAAGAAATAATGGCAACACTGGAAACAACTTGGATAGATATTATACACAACACTCAGGATAGAAAGGTGTTGGGAGATGCAGTAAACTAAGCGATATGGAACAGAAAAAGACAGGCAGAAGTATAAGGGATGGCAGACACAAAACGTGATGCATCAAGTCTGCCAAGGAAATAAGAAATGTAGTAAGTGGCTTGTCTCAATGGCGTCGCCCATCTTCCCAGGCTTAATTTTCTTTAAGGAAAGTGTGCTCACTTCCTTGAGATGCTAGGGTAGGGAGATTGAGGTCGGTTTGTGTCTATTACCAGTCGCTTTTATCTCCAATGACTACATTTTTGGCAAAAATATTCTTTTGAAAAATATACATTTGCAGGTGAAATGCAAATAATTGAAGACAAGTGAATTAGCCTACACGTTTAGAATTTTGAATTCATGACAGAACACAACATGCCATTAAAAGATTTAAGAAAATTAGTATTTGTAAATAGTCTAGCACCTCACTTAGGCAGGCATTGCACTTTAAAAGAATTCAAAGAGTATCAAAGAAATTTTATAAAAGAAAATATGACAATGTAATAGCTCAATTAAAAAAATATTTCTTTTGTAAAAGTTCTTTGATAAAATGTACTTTGAAACATCCAAGTTTGATCCAATATTTTGTAACATGACATCAAGAAGTATGAGCAAATATAATGTTTATACAATGCTGTCTATCAAGACTACAAAAATCAAAGCAAACGAATTGATGTGTATGACACAATTTCACAGGAAGTGGAAAATGCAATGCATGGAAATATCCAATTCATGAAATTATTTTTCTTTTCTTAAAATACAGAAGTCCTAATTTTGAACAAAAGGAAATTGAATGTGGCCTCATCCATCTTCAAAAAATGTATGCGTACTTTGGGTCTTCAGTTTGAAGTTCCTTAATTGAACAATGATTGAAGCATCTTTGCTCATGTTGCTTACGTGTCACCTACAAATGTTTCCTCTTTACCCTTTAATTTAGGGTAGTTATTATCATGCATAAAGTTGCATCAAATGCAATGATTTGTCCGTCATCCATTTTGAATCACAAACAAGACTACATTAAAATATTGGTTGCAATGTCATATGTTCGTCAAAGTTTCATTTTCTTTATCACAGATATGTGTCAAACATCTTTTACACTGTAATGCGTGCCGTAACATAGCTTAGAATGTTATGACAATGTTAGATTTTTCATAACAGTATTTTTAATCAGATAAATTATTAACAACATTTTTGAGACCACTTGTTGATTTAGTTGCAATGGTCACACAATCTCAATAGGTGGAACAAGTTGATGATGAGTTGAGAAGGCCAGCGTCGTACCTAATCCAAAGAGCTTTCTCCTCTCAGGACCTGGAATCAACTAAACAAGCACAACGTAAACTGGAGAATGCAAATTCTGTTTGAACGGTTCACTAAAAAGTTCTATCCAAGGAAATCTTGAGAGCTTGTAAGTTTGATGTTGAAAGATGCAATCACCAACATGTTGAGCATTGAAGGGCAAAAGGACATTATTAAATCATAAAAGATATTAAGTAATGTCTATGCTAATCATTGTTTTGAAAATATGTGCATAAACTGCAAACTAGACCAAGAGGTCATGCCATGAACCTGAAGATTATGTAATATTTGTACCTAAATGTAGGTAATGGTGTAATATTCATTAAGCCGTATGTGCTTACTTTTAGGTTCTCTTAAATGACTCTCTCCCTCTTTCTTTACTGTTTGAATTAATATTTTAAAATTGTATTCCAGCTACATACAGCATGGCAGTTATCCTGTTATGAGCCCAACAAATTCAAGTTTCCCACCAAATGTTTATATTGGCCGTACATCACTTCATTATATCACAACCAAGTCAGCATATCAACCTCATGATGCTACCATCTTTGCCATTAATAATCCCTTACCTGGAAATTGGTTTGTTGCATCATATATCTCTCACTGGGACCAGCATGTTCAGCAAGAGGTTGGTGTGTTTGTAATATTTGAAGATGTGGAAAATTTTTTCTTCATCTTTGAAAGAATTGTTAATCTCTTTTCTCTCTCACTCAACAAATATTTTTTTCTCAAACCTGAAATTCAATATTGTCTTCTCTAATTTTCTTCAGGTAGCAATAACTTGTATGAACTAATCCTTTCTATTACTATAATATTATATTTTGTCAGCACGTAGGGCAAATTCTCGAGTTTCTTTACCCTGCAGTATACACGCTCGATCTCTCAGATGACCAAGTTGTTCTCCCGTTGATAAAGCGTCATTCAAATTCCTAAGAATACAATCCTTCTCAGTGCTTCTTTGTTGTAGTTCTCAGATGTCATAGCTGTTCTTGACAATAGGTTTTATGCTGTGGTCAACGGAATAATCTCAACCAAAGTACAGATGAAGCTTTCTAACATATATCTTCTTTTTATTGCTGATTAACATTCTAGTTGATTAAAGTTTTAAAATTTCTTTATTAGAAAATGTTTGATGTGTGTTCGGACTTGAAACAACCAGCTGACAATTTGTGAAGCAAAGTCAGTTAAAATAATGATGAGGCATCTGAGAGATCACTGTGTGTACTTGAACTTTTACTAGCATGTGTGTCGCAGAGTTAAATTCATACCAAAATTATGTAAGGTTCTTGACTCCATTGAATTAGTAATACTCGCCCAGGAGGTGTGACCCCCCCTATCCCCCTTGTTTCCACATGATCTGGTTGCTGCGAACATAAATGCAATTGTTAGTAAGATCCCATGATTCAGCACAGTTTAGAGAGACCTTCCTGGCACACGTAACTATATATGCATGTTATATTGCATATGAAGTTAAAGCTGCAAGGTTTGTGAATCTCTGTATTGAATTCATCTTGTTATAAAATTAATTGGAAATATATTTAAGAAGGAAATCGTTCAAGACTGAATGACTTTGATGGATTTACCAATTGCTGGAATTGACAGTGTAAGCAAATGTGATAAAGTATCGTTCATAATTTGAAATGTAATACATTATCAATGAAAATTTTCAACTAATTACCATTTTACCAGCATATATATAATTAATTGAATTTGGCCACAGAGTTTTTAACGACTGACAGGTTTTTTAATCATAAAACGTTTATTCAGATCTTCAGAGCAATCACATCATAAAAAGTTTATTATTTTTCAGAGCAATGTTTTGGGGAATTTATTTTTCATCTTCAGTCTAGACATAGTAAAGGAGAAAGTAATCTAAATATGTTCAACAAAACACGAATAGAAGTTACTTGGATGATATTATTCAAACAAAATTATTTTAATAGAAATAGCACTTGATATAATCGTAACATAGAGACTCACCAATTGGGGAAAGAAAAAAAAACAAAACAAAAAACACACACATTAAAACACACATTAAAACAAATATATACATATTTACAGCAGAGCATGCAATGCACGTACTGAATGGCTGTTACAAAGTAAACAACCAGCTGAAACCGTTGTGTGTGGGGGGGAGTCTTCAAAATATGTTACATGAAATATAACATATGTGGAAAAATTATTATTTTTTGGCCACTGAATTGCATTAGAGGAAATATTAATAAATTCAAAAACGACTTTCACTAAAATAAGTATAAAAAAACATATCTGTGGCCAGCAACCTCGCATAGCATTATTTATCCATAAGACAGACATATGAATGTATTTGATTACACCTGTGTATTCAGACAGTTTGACATTTTTATATGAAATGTTTCCAGAACAAACCTTGAAAAATAATTCCATTTTGACTCCAATACTTCCACATGTGTAAAATTGTCACTGTTCAACTGGTGGTCCGTAATTAAATTATATTGATCCTAAATCTCACTAATATTACACATATGCTCAGATACCCGTGTCATTAGCTTTGTCTTAACTTGACCAATGTAAGATTTTGAACATTGTTGACAATTGATCCAATAAACAATGTTCTACATGTCAAGTTTATCTCTCCAATCTTTTAGGTTTAACCATGGACATTTTATTGCACATGCTATTTAGCAACTTTATGTCAAATTTAAGTTTTAACTCTTCTTTCAACTTTTTTGAATTTGAAGGGAAAAGGGCCGACAATGTATTTATTACTTTCATTAGACATAACCTCACTAAATTTAGAGTTAGTACCCAGATTCTGCATGTTAATACTTTTTAATCTCAGTTTTATCAACTTGTTAATAAACTTATCAGGATAATTATTCAATCTCAGAAATTTTGTGTAAATTAGGCAAATGGAATGGGGGAGATGACAATTTAATGGTCCTATCGACTAAATTTATTACTAAAGATTTTTTTCATAGAAACAGGACTAGACAAAAAATTAAAGGTAATTCCTGCATATATAGGTTTAGTGAATCAATTTGTGGTAATACTATTACCATTACGAAAGATGGTGACGCTCAAAGGTTTAATTTTTAAATTTACATATAGATAAAAACATATAGATTTGTTAAATGACATGTTGTTCCAGTTTACGCCTAACCAATTCTGCAAAAATAGTTATGAACGGACCAGCAATAGGTTTGCCCATGTATTGGTGGTACACTTTGTTATTAGAAGTAAACTCAATATTGTTGAGAATGGCTGAAACGGGTATCATGATTTGGTCCCGGGGAATATAAATTTTGTGAGAGTTAATAGCCAACAAATCCTCAATTGCTTCAACAATTAAAATGTGATGGATCAAGGATATGCGGCAGTCACATCAGTGGACACCAACCTAAGATCCGGATTCATTTTGACAGTGTGCAATTTATGAATTGATTCAAAACTGTTCTTTATGGCATATACATATTCTTCAGTACCTAGGCTCAAGAATTTGATTAAAAAATTTTGACAAAAAATAATGTATTGTTCCAACAGAAGACACCACCGGCCTCATAGGAAGATCAGGCTTGTTGACTTTGAGAAAACCATATGCAAAAGCTGTATTTGGAGCTGTATGGTACATGTAATTAAATTCTTTTAAAGCAATATAGGAATTATTTTTCCATATCTTGAGCAAATCCTGTATTACTTTCAAATAACTATTAGAAGAAGACCGTTTCATTACTTTAAACTTGGAACTGTCAGAAAAATTAGCTCCGAACTTTCTCACATAATCTTTTCTCATGATTGCCACGTATGTGGCACCTTTGTCAAATTGAATAATTTTTAGTCTAGGATGTTGCTTTCGAAATTTTTCGGTACAAAGCAAATTCTGGAAACTGACTCTTTTGGGTTATATCTTATAGGACTATTAACAAAGTGATTAAGTTTATTTGATTCAGAAGAATGCATATTATTATGAACACATTCAGAAATCTTAAAAACGTTAGACGCAAAATCTTTAATATATTTCGACTATTTGCTTTTTATCATTACCTTTGATTGGAAATTATTTCAGTTTCTGATCACCTAAAAAATCTTTGAAAATGACTTAAAAATAAGAGAAATTGACCTTTTTTTAAAAAAAATAGGTCTCAAAAATTTTTATGAATACATTTATTTATTAAAACAATTTTACAATATTAAATAAAATTTATTTATATAAAATTATATTTAATATGAAGTCTTTATTATAGTAGGAAGTGTAATCCTTAACTCTGATCTCCCAACCGGCAGTTTTAAAAGGTCAAGGAAGTTACCAAAGATCCGTGTAATTTTGAGAGTTAAAAAAAATGAAGTCCACTGCTGTAGTGAATTTTGTCATGAACTGATGATACAATAAAAACTTTGTACCATCAGTTTCATTGTAAATTCATGAAACTTTCACAAAAGAAAAACACAAAAAGGAAGCAAAATAATGATGTGAAAATGGCATAAAGTTCCGGAAAATTGTATACAAATTGAAAAATAACATAAAATGACCCAATAACTATACATTTCTATCACCTACTTGTTGTGATTAACATTCATGTAAAAGTTAGCTAGGTCTAGAATGCACCAATGAAAATATAACATGCCATCAAAATCCGAGCCCTGGTAGTGACCTACTTCAAACAGTCTTGATGGGAATAATCCAGAGTCGAGTGATTAGATAGAGCTGTCACATCTGGTATTGTTGTTTGAAGACTAATAAATCTGTGTGAAATTTAAGGTGATTTGTGTGGCAAGAGGGGGGGGGGGAGGTCACAGCAGATTTTCTAAGAGTTCTCTCACTTTTCTTGCCTTATTCCATTATTGCTCCACCTTCATTCTTTCATTTATTCAATCATCATCTCTAGTACAAATGAAGTCCTGGCTCCAGGATAATTATTTATAAAAATTGTTGGTATTTAGAATTGTTATTTACCATGTCAGCAAATTTCTCTGTAGTTTTACAGACTACAAAGTGTTGAGTATAAAATTGAGTAGCAATTTTCATTGTATGTTTCAAATAAAAGTGTAAGAGTACATGCTGGAAGCACTTCATTTAAAAGACTCTTCAATAATGTTTAATTCTTCCATAGTAGCTTTGGAGGGGTAATAATGATTTATCCTAAATAAACCAATTGATGAATTGCCCTTCATAATTGAAAATAGTTAAATATTCTATTCTCTTTGTACATCAGGAGATAGCAACTTCTCTTCATACGGTTTTAAATGTATCATAGCTTTAGAATAGTTAGAATTTAAAAAAATCTTAAATAAAAAGGGATTAATTAAATATAAAAAATGTTTGCTGCATTGTTTTCAACTGCTCAATCAAGAGGTTGGTATGATGCATGAAAAGAACAAAAACTGTATGTATTATTAGTATTGCATGACTGAATTAGTAATGTAGTTCATACATTTTTAGGGACTTGGTCACAAATGCCATTATAGCCTTGGCTCAGTCGCATTTTGGTCTCAAGTGGTTGGGATACCTGTCATCAGTCCTGGCATTCCAAAGGTCATTACTACCACCGAACATTTTTCGTATTACAAGTGAGTATTGATATAAATTGTTATTCTTGTCATTAACACATATAATAATAATTATTGTTCTTTTTGTTGTGTCCTTAGAAATTTTTAAAGTTTAGAAACACAATTTTCAGTATATAAGAGAATATATTCTATAAGAAAAGGATTTTGAATTGTTTTTCCCATTATTTGATTGCCATTCCTTTTAAGTTATCTCTTAGAAAAATGTGAGTGTTTGTATATATAAAATGATATGAAATATTGTGCCTGTGCAAGTCTAGGTGACTGAGTGTATTTCCCTGATGATTTTTCATTATAGAATTAGGATTTTTAGTGGGGGATATGAAAAAAAATTATGGGAAAAGAATCAAGATTATATGATTCATCATACGTTCATGCAAGTTTCTGACAGTTTGTGTGCATCTTGTACCATTGCCAGTACCATTTGACTTAACTACCTAAATGCAAATGAATTTAAGAAGAGCAAAGTCAGAGTGGTAAGAAAATTACCATACATATGTGTGAAGGGGGCTGCTTTAGTACTTAGTTCACTTTCATAGCATGTGTACTAAAACTTGTTGTCCCCAATACATAATGATCAGTTAAGTTCCTTACTTCTTTTCCTCTCCCAAGGTACTTCAGATTCAACCTTTATCATTTATATAGCTAGCATAAGTTACCCATTGTTGCCTGAATATTTACTTACCTCAATCAACTTGTAGACAAGGAAAGCAATGAATTCTATCAATATTGTAATATGGTGGTAATTGTATTTATATATCGCCTCCCTGCCCCTGGCATCGCCTCCCTGCCCTTTTCACAGCTACATCCATGCCTCTCATGGCTGTCTCTAATTGTACTGTATCTCAATTGAGTGGTAAATTTATATCATCCAATAAAGTTTTTGTGAACATTTTTTCATTGTTTACTTGTGTTTTATGTTTTAGGATATTTATACCTGCCGGCACCTGGCATTTTACTGTGAAACTATCTAATTGTGAATTTCAAGTAAATTCAGTGACCATGTTTCACAACAATAATACTGTGCTGTACTGCATTCAAAGTGTAGCTCTTAGAGCGCGCGCACTTCCATCCTACACTTCAAAAAGTTTGGGGAATGTCACTGTGGATTCTGAATTGTTTTTCACTGAAACCGAGCCATATACAAATGGGTTTTATTATTTACTCATTGTAACAGAATCTATGGTCAAATTCAAAGTAGACATTTCTACAACAGGTGAGTGCCTCAAATGTAATCTACTTAACATGTAATTAATGAGAAGCAAATTTTAGTATTCGTTTTATTGTTTTTTGTTTTTTTTTTTCATTTTTTTGGCGTGTGCGTGTGGGGAGATGTGGGGGCTTGCCCCTCTTAAAAGCAAAGTCAGCTCATTCTTCCATTTCCTTTGCCACGTTTACTGAACATGTTTTTGTGAAAGTTTTCTATTTGTCACTCCAAGGCTGCTGGCAGACAAATTTAAATCTTTGATTTGATAGTGCAGGTTTCTGTTTGTTATGCTACGATAGTAGCCAAATTGAATTCTGCATAGGTGTTTTTAAATTATTTTTGAATGGAGATTAATTTTGACTTAAATGGAATTTTGTGAGAATCTCAAACATTACGGAAACCTTTTTTACTTGTATAATTGGTGGCATGGAAGTAGTTAATTTTTTGCTTTGCGAATATTCATCGTGAGTGGCCATGTTTGAACCCATGACCTGATATCAGTATTCCAATGTACACTAATACACCAATGCATGGAGGGCACACCAAAAATTATTTAAATACCAATAATTTCAGTAGTTTAATGATTATTGTGACAATGACTAATGAAGCACTTTTGTACATTTTATATTGTTTTATTTGCTTAAGTTTGTACGTTAATATCTGGTGATTTGTGATTAACAAGAAGTATTTACAAATTCTTGGAAAGTCTAATGTTTGTCAGAGGCCTTAATCTTCTGGTGCCCCTCAAACGTGTCCTTAATCTGAAATATTTCACATTTCAAATATAGATTTAAGGAATAATAAAATTTTGAATGTTATTTTCTTTTTAGAATGTAGTGTTCAGCCATTGGGCCCTAGTTTGAGTAAACATTTTGCACAAACATCAGAAATAACTGTTCGGCATAGTAACAATACTATTCGCTCAGACTGGGCTAGCACAATACGGCATATTAACAATAGTAAAATTCCAAAAGTTACTAGAAGCCCTGGGATAAGACGAGAAGATCTTATTAAGCTACAATACCCTTGTTTACCAACATTTCAACTGGCACGTATTAAGCATTCCCAGGATTTTGCTGATACTTTTCTTTTGCAGGTAAGACATATTTTTCCTTATATTTTAATTAATCAGTGTTGATTTGTGAAATTAAGTCATAGGTGTGTGTGTATAGATAGAAAAAATTGCAGGACTCCAGGTTTTTTTCTCTATCATGCCATCCAAAATTAAAATTGTTCATTTAGTATATTGAATGCAGTGTATCACTGTGCTGTTATTTATATTCAGTAGTTCTATATTTTAATAATTAGCACCTCTCAAGTAATTCGAATCAAAATTCACTTCTAGTAATATTCACAATTCTATTGAAGTTGATTTAGCTAATTATTGTATTCTTTGCAACTCTTCAGTTTGATGTTTGTTCCTTTTTTGTCTAACCTTGATCTACATCTCTTTCTTCTTTTCCATAATATCCATTTAGTTCCTCTTTTTACTAGCTCACTCTAAAATCTGAAAATGGTTATATTTTGTCAGTTTTATCATTATTTACCAAACTATGCCTTGCTTAAGGTTGAGAATCATCGGTTGTTTATAATAATAAAAGTAATAATAATATTAATAATAGCTATAATAATAATTTTATTCATTGTAAGTGGATTGTTATCTGATGGCAATTCACATGTGCAATAAACTTTAAACAAGATACTAAATATGGCACAATAAAGAATAAGATTGTTTTGGGGGGAAATCGTAATACAATACAAATATAAAACGTAGATGTAATAAAACGAATATTAAAAGTTAATAAAACAATTACTCAAATACATACATTACAGGTAATACGGAATAAAATACTATTCTACCAATACTCAGGACGGTATACTTGTGTAATATTAAGAAAGATGACTAAATTATTTATTTGTAAATTAAAGATTACTTGTATACAATAACTACCAAACGTCATGTATTATTTAAATTATTTTTAAATATCTAATGATATATGGACATTCATGTTTGATAATAACTCATGATATACAGTATAATAATATTTTAAAAAATGTATTGCTAGTGGAATAGTTGGATATATTTTTGAATTGGGCAAAATGTTTGTCCTTATTTTACATTCATTACATTCTGGACATTTTTCTTGAGAAAAATCAAGCATATGTTTGTATGGAAACTTACAAGATATATTTTTTCTGAGGGAGCACAGCTGAAAGTTTCAGAAATAAATAAAATGGATTGTCATGAAGTGCAAATATTTGTTTCCATCAGGATTTGAGTCCTGGACCTTCTGTTATCCAGACAATGTTTAAATTACAATTGACATGAAGATCAACAAAATGTAATAACACACACAATATATATTTGCATCAGACATGATTGCAATTAATAATTGCATCAGACATGATGTATCTGGAGAAAAAATTGTTTTCAAGATAGTGTAATTGTGCTAATGCACCACATTGATGGATTGTCATGAAGTGCAGGTATTTAATTCCACTGAGATCTGAACCCATCCAGATAGATGCTGTAAACGATTTAAGCTTCAGAATCAAACATTGTATTCGTGACAATTTAACAATCTTATATAAATATCATGCCAGAAAAAAATTAGTAACTAACTAAAATACCCTTTCTCATCAATTACAGATCTCAAAACTTATTATAGTGTATAGAAGAAACAGGAACGTTAAAAACGTCATTTTTTTTCTTAAAGTCTCTTTTTTTTAAAAAGAAAATTGGGAGATTAGAGGGTGGGGACTTAAAATATGAAAATTAAAGTTTTTTCCTTGGTCCCAAATATATTCCACATGAAGTGGGCACAGAAAATTTTATTCTGTTGGAGACTATTGGGGACCATCATTTTACTTTTTAAGCTCATCCACATCCTTTTAGGTGAAGGAATATGGTGACGATGCCTACTTTCTGTTAAAATCTTGATGAATGATAAATGTAGATGATTCGGACCAAATATAGTTGTAAAAGAGATTTTAGAACTTTCTTGATGATCAGTGACCATGTCTTTGAACATTTCCAGGGTCGTGAGTGGTACACAACATGGGTTGCACTTACTGAAATGATTCCTGTCATTGTTCAGCTAGAAATTTTACCATTTGTTGATATTGGTGGGACTTTAAGCATCAATATTCATCTGGATGAATTATTGATTGTAAGTTAACATTTTCTCTTTAGATTTTTGGCTGTGTTTTATTGTGATGTTTATGTGATTGTATGACACAGTTTCATTAAAAATCTGTATGTCTTTGTTTCTGTGATATTTTTGCAATGTTCCTATCAGTTCCTTCTTTACTTGTATCTTCTTCAAATATTCCATGTGGTGAAATATTATTGGATATGCTTCATGCCCTTTTTATCTTCAATAACCAGGGCAAATGTTTTGGTGTAATGTACTGTTTTTCAAGTAACATACTGATTTTGTTTGCAACTGTGGGTAACAAAATTTGTGTTGTGTGTGTAGTGTTGTGATTTTTGTCTTGTGTATGGGTTAGTTTTTAATATATAATTTGTAATTCCAGAATACAACATATCATTTGTTGACGATAACAGCATGTATTAGAAAAGGCCGTGCTCCCTCTCACATTAACTGGGATATTATATGTCCTCCTTCCTTGCTTCTGAACATTTCAACAGCAACACCAGAAAGTGTTGATGCCACAAAATTGATACCATATCCTGAACCTGACATGTGGTTTATAGCCTTTCAAGCAAAATGTTATGCAAATGGGTATGCTTTATACTGATTTTGCCTTTAATCATTGGGGGCAAATTTATTTTGTGTTTGGTGTTGTAATTGTTTTATCTTCGTGTAACTTTTTTCTGAGAGTAGTAAATTACTGCTCCTTTTTGCTAATAGTACAGAGAGGCCATGTCTAATGAATGAAGTGACGGTTTCACTGAACATCAGAACTCAACCATGTGTCTTTTCTGGTCATCCTTGTGGACAAAAAGGCGTTTGCCAAGAATCCCATAAAGGCCTTCACTTTTTCACATCATGTGCCTGTTTAGGTGGTAAGTACTTAAACAATGAATGATTTTAAAAATTGTTCAACTTTTATAACAGTAAGAGTCATAAATGAGAGAAAATATATTGCACACATAATTTTTTTACTGGTTTACAAACTTAAAACTATTTACATATGTGTCTGTGTCAAGATATGGTAATGCAACCTTAACAAAAAATCCACTGTTGAACCCTTATATTTCTAGATGGTGACAACACTGAAAAAATTATTTTTGAAAATCCAGAAAAAAAGAAATTTTCATCATTTGGGTGGTCAATAGAAAAGGGTATGAGTGTGAAAATACTCTTCTGAGAAGAATATATATA